AGATATGATCAGATATAAAATTAATACCACTCTGTCCAGTGAATAAGAAGATAGAGCCTGCAGATGGTTTGGTTGGCTTTGCATAAAGACTGGAGAGAATGAAGTTTTTCCAAAGGCCACACAAATCTGTAGTGTATACAAAAAGCCAATTTTCCAAAATTTGCTATTGTAGGTCAGCAATATTAAAATGAGACCGTTTCATAACCAGTTAACAGTTAGCCTATAAATGAACAAGCACCCACGATCAAGCACTTTCTATTACAGTACAATCTTCACCTTCGCAGGGTTCACCCTAAACTGATTATCAGCACTATTCCCACTGCAGCGATCAGGAGAAGCACACTGAGCAGGATCTATGACCTTGTGAAGAACACACAGGTTTGATATCACTCCCTCCTTTGTGTGTTTCACACTGAAATTCTTGTTGCCCTGTGAAACATTCCTTCAAACCTGGGTGCACACATTGATGAAAATCCCCCTCTATTCTGTGACTATACAGCACCACCCTGTAAAATAAACCACATGAGTGAACCCGATAGTCTCAAGAGAATCAGAAGTACTAACACTACAGTGTCTTCTTGCTGGATTCAGTGACTTGAACCAAGAATGAGATTATTGTTCAACACAGCTGAGGTACAGCGAGCAAAGGATGATCCCTCTGCTTGACCACTAGGTGGCAGACTTGTGTTTCTGTTTTAACCAGAGGGATCTTTACAGTTACTGAGCTTGAATTATTCAATGTTATTGTTAAGATATCTGAACATGAACGACGTATGTTGGTATGAAGAAAAATATGTATCAGCTACTAAATCTGCTTTATACTTTAATCTTTACAATTTAGTTAATATAGTCGTGAGCATATTTTACAGCAACTTCTTCCTCTAAGTTACTATGAGCAGACAGCAGAAATGTTTTTACATGTGAAAAGAAAGTCCATTGATCATTTTAGGGTTTGGCTCTGACTGTGGTTTCACGCCTTACTGGGCTCAGGTTTTTATCAGGCCACCACTCCTAGGATCATATTGACTGATTCAGAGCTCAGATATAAAGTAGAGCTTTACGGGGGGAGTGTCATGAAGCAAATTCCTCCTCCATCTTTTAACAAAGAATGACAATAATTGCACAATAGTTCCAAAATGCCACAGCTACAATAGCTGTTACAGAGAGATCAGACGAAAGGGAAAGCTGATGCAGTATCATTCATTCTCAAACTGTGATGTTGTGATTCTGTACCTGAACTGTGTTGTGGATGTAATTATATTTTCAAATCATGTTAAAACACAGACCATCATGTCTAATGCATTTTAGAGCCTTTGTTTTTCTCGGTGTATGAAGAGTTTTTTAAAAATGAGCAAAATTAATTTGGGAAATTCCTCTTGGATTTGGTTTTAGCTGTAAAATGTTCATGTCTATTAATATTTTTGACTTTATATGAAATGAGACTCTTTCCTGGAAATTACATTCTCTTATCATTATAAGGAAACATATTGTTAAGAGTGTTTAACAAAGACCCCACCTGAAGCACTACAACACACACACACACCCAGCAGTGCAAACACTGTTCCCTCAAAACAAGCTGATTGAAAAACTCTCATTTATCATCTTCTCTTTTTTTCTTTTTTGGGAGGGGACAGATCTAAGGGTTGCCAGTTTAAATTCATTCTGCATCGAAAGGGTAGTCATCATAAGCGATGGCTTCGTCCGTCAAATGTGAAAAGTCAAATGTGATTTAATTATAACTTAAACCAGGCAAATGTGTATGTGTGTGTATGTGTGTGTGTGTTGTTCTACATGTTTGTCATAGGTTATGGTTCAAAAGGAGTTGTTGCCATGGAGACATTATGGAGACTTTTTATAGTTTCCTTGTGACCTGAGATGTGGTATGTATGTATGTATGTATGTATGTCTGTCGGTCTGCCGATCTGTCGGTCTGTCTGTCTGTCTGTCGACCTGACAGTTGCCAGGAACGCGCTCAGGTTTTCTGTGGCAGAAACGGTCACAGACCACATGTAAACACAACGGAAACAATAGACCTCTGAGATCGCATGAGTCTGCACAAAACTCTGTTTACGCCGTGTCATTATGGAGATAACCTCTGGTTTCTTACTACATGTGCTACAAATTAACATGTGAAGTGTAAACACGCGAGCGCTCTTCAATAAGACCGAGGCAGACTTTAAAAGGAAAAGAAGAACCAAAAAGGAAGGGATGGGAAAAGAAAGGAGAGGGAAGGAAAAGAGGGGAAGGGAAGGGACCATGAACAGTAGGAAAAGCAGATCAAAGAAAGAAGATGGAAAGGAGACGAAAAGGAAGAGATGTCACAACATCTTGTAAAATAAAAAAGAGGGGGGTGTAAAGCATCAAAAGTCTCTGATCCCTTTATCAACAATGGTTTAAATGGAGGTGGCGCAGGCCTCATGTCAGCAGTGTTGCAGCCATGCACACATTACCTGCATGAGGGAAAGTGGAGCCCATGGGCATCTATTCCTGCACTGTCTTGGTAGAACTGGTTTGGTGACTCTGCCTCATTGTGTGAATTCACTTTATATGGTGTAGTCTATTGTGTCAAGAATGACTATAGCCCATAAGCTTTTGTTTTGCTTGTCTTTCCATTTCAGAGTAACAGCTGTGCTCCACTAAAGGCAGAACATGCTGCAAGTTCATATCAAAAACCAAACAGGGATGACAAAAGTGTCTTCATATGACTTTATTCTCTAAATATTGTGGTGTGCTAGAGTGTTGCTCTAATGTATAAATAAAGCTTTCATTTAGTGAATGGTGGAAAAAGCTATTCAGAAAATGTCTGAGACTATGTTTCAAAAGATAAATGAAATGACATAAAATAGAAACAATACCTGTATTAAAGCAATTTCAGGTAGAGAAACAAATGAATGTGTAATTTATGGCCACAAGAGAACACATATAAATAATCAAGACAAAAAAAAAGATTTGGTAATTGACATTGTAACCAGCCAAGCATTTACCAGTGTATATAAATATATAGCTCCATATAAATAAAGTTAACTTAGAGATCATGTTCAGACTGTAATTAGCGAGCCCTTGACCCAAAGCACAAATATAAAAAATGATTGTAAGCAAACGACTAATACAATGTTCACCACAACTTCCACACACACTGCGACTCGTTCTCTCTGGACGAAGGTTTCTTTGGCATTCAGGCTAAATTTGGTTGCATTTTGCATCTGACTGCAAACAGTTCAGCTTTGAGTTCAGTTGCTGTTGATGGAGTGAAGCGACGTCATTAACAAAGCCAAGCCTAAAACACAAAGGTGTGTTGGATCAATATTTGCTCATGCTCAGTGCTGAGCACTGCTTCCTGACATACCAGCAGTGTAATAAAAACAGGAGATGAAGAGAAGACTGCACTGATGCAGTTGTTCTGTCCTATTACTCACTTTAACCATTATACTGTAACTGTAACCAGTAAATCATTAAATGTCACCCTGATACATTGCACAGCTTGAGCTTTTCTATCAGCTCTCTATGTGATACATGAAACGTGCAGTGTGCCTCCCATCAGTCAGTGTTAAAGTCAATAAAGAGAACTACAACAGGCGATACTGTTCTGATACTAAACCACAGATCAACCAGGAACATTAAGTGCATGTCAGAAACGTTGAGGTGAGTTGAGCAAGTCACAATCAGTGATAACGTGGCAGCTAGTGGACACACACACACACACACACACACNACACACACACACACACACACACACACACACACACACACACACACACACACACACACACACACACAGACTATAATATCGTCTATGGCCCTGACGGAAGCTTTCTTGCGACTGTGTCTAAAATCACCTCATTTACTCAGTCACTACTCCCTGTAATATAGATGGTCAATGGTTTATACTCTGTAGTAATCAGTCAGCAGAGAATCCATCATCATTGTGCATCATCTCTGGCAGTTGTAGACGCTTTGCCTCATGGGATTGATGGCGGTTAGTACAGTACTAATCCTAACCCCAATCTGCATGACGTTGGACTGTGGGAAGAAGCCGTAGTACCTGGAGAACAAACACTCAGATACAGGGGAAGAATGCAAAATCTGTAAAGACACCACTCAATCTGGGAATCAAAAAACCTCCTGCTGTGATTTAAAGTTTGAAAAGTACACATTTTGGCAGACTGATTGTGTTACAACCTTTGGGGTATTGGGTTAAATATTTAAGTTTGAATCAATTAGTTAGGATCCATTAAAAGGCCCAATTGAGTTGTTTTATGGGAAATGCATAATCTAGTTGTTCAGTTTTTGCCATTAGAGTGCCAAACACCTCGTGTCAGTTCACTTCCGATCTGTGCGAGCGAGAAAGTGAATAAAACATTTGTTTTCCTGTGGCGAAGCAAATCCCAGCGTAGCTTCATGTTGAACTCACTCTGTAATATTTGCTTTGCATTTGCGTATGTGACCGTGTCTTACAACTCAAGATATCTCAAGCTCTGCTGCTTCCATTACGACCACTCTCTTTATATCTGTAACTAATCTCCCAATTTTATGGAAGCGACGAAGAAAACCGCTGGGATGCCAAGACTGCAGCTCAAAATTCATACCTGAAAGAGAAGAGTCGAGTAGTGTTCTGTAGTGAGGCGAGCAAGCAAATCTACTCGTGTATGATCCTATCATGCAAAACTGAGAGGTGATATATACATATAAGTGAGAAAAAAAGGACAAACAACATTTCACAGCAAGGCTGTGAAAGTGATGTACAGTCATGTGTCTAATACCATGGGGTAAGGCCAGAGGGTGTGGGATGTAAAGAAGATAGTAAGGCTCTGTTTTCCAGATAATTCCGTTAAGATCTTCGCATATTTTCAGTCTCGATTAGCTGAGGTGACTGACCACTGCTGTTTCTGGTTGAAGGTGACAATGTGAGGAGGGGCTCAAGTTGCCCATGTGAGGAGGGGTCTCGTGCTTATCCACCCAGTGGGTGCCTCTATGTCCTCCTCCATATTCCTCTCCCTCTTTTAGTTCATGAGTGTCATGGTGCTCTCGGTCTGGCCTTCGAAGATCCCGGAGAAGAACTCCAGTGCCAGGCGCATGTGGATGGGCACAAAGACATACGAGGTGTAGATGACCATGGCGATGGCGGAGAAGAGGATGGAATTGAAAATTGACTTTTCCCAGGGCTCTAGGACGTAGATTCCAGTGATGAGCAGGTACTGGTAGTACAGCCAGGCCAGGTACTCCCTCAGGTTCTTGAAGATCATCCTGCAGGCTGGATGAAGGAGAAAAAAACAGAGGTGGAGATATGTGAGATATGAGTTGTAAGAAAGATAAAGTGTCAAGACAGTAAATGGTGGGACGACAATAAAAATACAGAGGTGAAGGTAAGGGAGGAGCACAGAGAGATTACAAGAATTGAAATTGGTTTAAAAAAAGGAAGCGGCACATAGAGGTAGTAACTGAAAGTATAAATATACATATTAAACTGTAGAGGTACAGAAGTATTAATGTCAAATTATTAAAAATAATATTAATTACTCAAAATATCAAACAATAAAAAATACTTAAGGCAAAAATGTATCCAGTTAATATTTTAGTTAGTAGATTATCATTACTGATTCTTTACTGTGGAAGCAGCATTTATGTTGTAGCTACTCCATGTCAAGCTCCTGGTGGGTAGTTTGATCTATTACTATTTTATCAAATTACTAAATGGAAATCCTAAAAGTGGCAAAAGGTCAAATACTTCCCTCTGAAATGTTTTAGAGTTAAAATATAAAGAAGCACAAAATGGTAAAATTCAAGAATTTTATGCTGATGCATTGTTGTTTGATCTACAACAATGCCACTTATTTATCAGTTGATTATATACAGTATTTCATATGTAACTAAAAATAGTTACTAAACTAGAAACTAAAACAGTCAAAAAGTACAATATTTCAATATTATATTCATCTATATAGTATAATTCAAGGAAAGTATGATAATGCATTATATTTTATCAATTGATTCAATGTAAATTATAAGTAACTACAATAGTGAAACAGTGAAATATTTCAACATTATATTTTGCACAAAATGGTTAATTCAAGAAAGTACTAGTAAAGCATACACGGTACTTTAAATACAGTACTTTATTTCTGCATGGAATTTACTCCATGCAGAAAAATAATACATGTGAAAAACAATTCTATAATACATGATTATTCACAGTTTTCAATCATGAAAACCGTTGTGTTCTGCCCTGTGTTAACCATTGTTCTGGGGGGTAATTATGTGGCCACAATGGAAAATAATCCTCAAATGAAGATAGCTCTTGTGACTGTTTATTAATAAGGAGGTGTAAGGGGGGAATTGAGAGCTCTCATTAAAGCCCCTCTGGTCCAGGACGGAGCAATCAAGCAGGCCTCATGGGGGCTCGTTGTGTGGATAGAGAAATGGCCATGAAATTAAACCCAGGGGTCCGACATGGACATAAAACAACACTAGCTTGTTTTCTAGGCACACTTATTCTCACACTCTACACACACGTTCCTTCACACATGGGACTTCACACATCCCCACAGAGCATACAGGCAAAACAACACTTGTTTTAAGGCTTTGTTTGCGTGGATTACACTGCTTATAATGAATGTGTTAATGTGCTGTTTTCCAAATATGTGATAAAAAGCAGTGTTTATTTAAAGTGAAGTGCATGTGGGCGCCCTGTGGTCTCAGGTTATAATACAATCTGCTGCACAGCTAAGGGGGCGGGGCCAACAGGTGCTCTACAAGTGCAGGTGTCTCCTTTCTACAATAAACTTAGTAGAATAGCAACGAGCACAGTGACACTAGTGTCTATACACAGGATGCATTTACTTCCTTCAGCCTGTAAAGTAGAACTGTTGCACTGAAGTTATATAAACCACAGCACATCTTTGCATGGCTGTAATTAGAATGTATTCATGAATACCTCCATCAACAGTTGGGCTCACGAAAGTGAAATCACTTCAGCTTAAAGTTTCCCTTCCTGTGCAGATGTGCAATAATTAATTATCTGCACATCATTTTCTTTATTATACCGATTATTCTAAATGCTGTATAAATGCTCTGTGTATCCTGTGTTGTGTTAAATGTGACTCTTTTCATTGACTCACCCAAGCAGCCGCCGTTAGATTCCCTGGTGTGAACCACACTGATGGAGCTTTTTGAGGCTGAGCCGCAGACAGCAGTCCGTCCTGCTGCCGCTCCGCTGTTTAGTGTAAACCAAAAAAGCTGCCTCACCAGTCTGCCTCCGTCCTATATGTACCACTCATGCACACCTAGTCACTGACACCACACCCACTAATAGTCGTGCTCACTCACCTGGCTCCACAGATCATGCAGGTGCAGGCGCAGAGGACTTTTACGCACACAGGCCGATGTGCGCGTTTTTACGCAGCTGGAGGGAAACAAGTCCTCGCATCAGAGGCGCGGGAGGAGTCGGTGTCTTAATCGCAGGTTTATGTCAGTCATGTAAAGTCCATCCATGTAAAGCATCTTTAAACTTTTCTTCAATCCATGTGTCGCATCCTTTTGCGCCTCCGTCCCACCACCTCCTGCTGCTGCAGCCCTGCGCAGCGCCGCAGCACCGCCGTGACGTAGCAGGAGGCAAAAACAAGCAGAGGCAGCACTATTGTGTGTGTGTGTGTGTGTGTGTGTGTGTGTGTGTGTGTGTGTGTGTGTGTGTGTGTGTGTGTGTGCGCGCGCGCACTCACTCGTACTGCAGCCTCAGGATGTTCATATGATCAGTATATGGAAACATAAAACAAACATTAAATAATTTACAAGCAAGGTTAAAGAAACGTGATATTAAAGATAATGATGTTATGAGATTATCAGTGAAGAGACCTTTATGGTGCAGGTGAAAAGGACACCCTCCAATCAGTCCTGAGGAACCTCACGTATATACATTTATTTTATACATTTGTTTTCCACCTCAATGACAAAAATGAAATCATCTAGGTTTTAATATCTAACATGAAGACAACTGTAGCAAAGTCTTCAAAATATAGGGATTGGTACTAAACATTCATATTCTCTGAATATTTTTTCTCTTTTGGGCTTTTGAGTTTGAATCTATGTGTTTCCTTTTGTCTGAACCATGAGTCTAATCATCATCACATCACTTAATAAATGTCCCCTGTTCTTGATGGCAGGCCCAGAAGCTTTTATATGATGTGATTTAACAAACGATCTCTGTCCCAGGGTGTTATTTGTTTCTTTGATTTTTTGTTGTTGAAGTGTTCTGTTACTTGTTACATCTTTTGTACTTCTCTTCCGTCTGTCCTGGGAGACAGATCCCTGTGACATCTTTAGGTTTTTCCCCTGTTAAAGAGTTTTCCTCATTCTAGTTGAGGGTTAAGGAAGGAGGATGTTCCACCTTGTACAGATTGTTAAACCCTATTTTTTGATTGGTGAAGCATCAGTGCTTTAAACTATATATACAAGCCAGTATGTTGCCATCCTAATTTTCTGTGTATATACTGTATATGATGTTGGAATAGTACTTCTTACAGCCTATACTTCACTTGTGGTGCACCTACAGTCATGAAAAACTTGAAAAGGTGTCTCTTTGTTTTGGGGCATTCGGACGTACACTTAGGAAACCTCATCTCCTCAACTCTCCTCATCCTGTCAGGGTTTGCTGACCTGCTCTGTTCTTACATTTAACAACAGGATGCATTATTGACATGTAAACACAGGCAGTGGTGCACCAGTTACACAGGGACACACACCACGATATTTGTTTAAGTCACAAGAATGAGGACAGGTTTGAACTGCTGGACGCAGTTCATGAGTGGATGCGTCCTCGCTGTGCACATATTAACCAGCTCTTTCTAAAAGGTTTTGTGACTCAGTTCACCCACTGTGGTCTTTATGTGACATTTCCAGACTCACTCTGCTGCAGGTCCTGTGGAAATCGTTATTCAAATCAGATCAGCAGCCTCAACGCTCCAACATTTTCAGATATCTGGTCAGTGAGTGTGTGACACCAGAAATCACAGGTAAACACGCCTGGAAGTGAATGTGGGTCAAATGGTCTCAGTTTGCGCTCATGTAAAGACGGTGAGAAAATCAGGTCAACAGGAGGGTGATGAGAAGGAACCCCTACTCTACATTGTAGTTGCCCCCAAAAACACACAAATACACACCTAAAGGGGATTCACCTCCTTCACTTTCCCAAGTAGATCTGATTACCATCAACAACCAGGTCTGTGAAAAACAAGACGCAGCCTCCTCCTCCTCAAGTTAGAATGCGAAACATGTCACAAAGACTCATTTTCTGATACACACATTCCTGAGGTGTGTTCTATTACATAAAGCTTCATAATAGTGGGTCCCGCACGGTCATGCAACAAATCTGAAGCAAAAAAAAAAATCTTGACAAACTACAGAAGTAAATTTTTGATTAATGCTCTAAGGACGGCTGAGTGTGAGGAACTGTTGAGGTTTTACATTCTCAAAATAATCCAAAACAGTTTGAAATGAACTCTGGTCTTTAAAGTCATTTTAAACAGTTCCTGAGGTGTTTTCAAGATCAACACTCTCTGGGTGAAAAAGCTAGTGCGGGTGGGGAATATTTGAATATTGCCCACAGAAACCAAATGACTCCATTTACAGGTGTGGATCAGTTTACTGCAAGTGGGTTCTACCTCTGTTTTCTCAGTGGTCCAAAGCTCCCTCTGGTGAATGACTACAGCAACGCACTTAACAAATGTAACTTTGACTCACTGAACGCATCACATGTACAAATCGCACCATATTCAAACACTGCACAGACAGACAAGAGATTTGTGTAAAGTTTGCATAGGGGCAAATATTTATTTTGATATAGTTAACTATAATCACTCCATTTTGACTGCACTTCAAAGATTTTACACCACATAAGGAGAAGAGTACTAGAGAAAAGTCCAGTTTCTCAGAAGAAACGTATTTGTTACTAAGTGGCACCGATATGATCCACATGTAATGGACTTTAACTGTGATGATTCACTTTAACAATCAACTGTGGATTTTTTTGAAGTATGAAAAAGTATCAATCAATTGTTTGAATCACTCATCAGTCGTGTCAGTTCAGAATCAGCGGGGTCTGTATTCGTAAAACTGCCTCATCAGTGGACATGTGTTTGACAGAGTAACCGTCAGTGTCACACTGATGGCCACTGTTTACTCTGTCATCATGTCGGCGCCATCTCCTCCTGTGGCGTCTGATAGGCTGAGCTCCTCCAGCATCTCCGTCAGGGAAATACGTGGCGCTCCATCATCATCAGTGTCGCTCTCCACAGGGATCTTTGAAGCATCTGATATTAAAACAAAACCAGCAGATTATTATTAACTATCCAATAAATAATTTAATTAATAATTAACTGTGAGCAACTTCTATTAAGACGGTAAATTAGTCAAAGCCTGAGAATAGAAATAATTTAACAAAAGGGCTGAAGTCTCTTCAGAAGCAGATGCAGAGGAAAGTCTGCTGTGTCCCAGCTGCTCACCTTTGTAGATGTTGACATTCTTCCTCAGAGCCTCGTCCTCTTCCAGGTCCTCAAGGAAGTCCTGGTATTGTCTGAAGACAGAAAAGCTAATTTAGACCGAACCCATGTGGCACAGCATGACAGAAAAAACACACAACCACAGGATACATGGCATTCTTGGCGAGGTATCAAACTATTCATCAACAATTAAAAACAATGTCGGGTCTTCAGTCACAATTTCAGGCATCTTAAGTGTTTTCCTTTTATTTTCTGTGCTACAATCTACGCTACAATTTGTGGACAAAACAAACTTTGCTCATTTCTTCAGAATGCACTTGAGAATACAATCTAAAAAATTATTTCCTATGGACAGTGTTCAAAATATTTCTAAAAATATTTCCTAAGAACTTTACCAGAAAAGATTTCATTGAATGTGTCATGCAGACAGATTCAGGATTTTAGAAGAACCTTCTAGCGAAAGTATAGATCTGTTGTTTAAAAAAAAGTGAGCCTTCTGTTCATATTTAAAAATTCCTTCATTACGATAAAACTAAACTGCTCTGCTTTATTTTGAGTCACTGACATATACACTATCCTGGTGCTGTAAAATTGCACCAAAGCACAACATGTGTATCAGTCCACACCTGAAATTAGGTTCCAAAAAATGCCTTCATTCCTTTTGATTAACATTTAGCTGTTTAAGAAAAGGTCTTGCCTTACACAGTGCATTGTTGGTTCAGTCAAGATTTGATCACAATATGAAAACTATGTCTCCAGCCTTATGCTTAAAAAGCTAAACAATTAATCAGAGATAAATAATGGACAGCGCTTTAGAAGATGGAAGGTTTTGATTGAAATAGAACATTGTGAAGCTTAAATTGTCACTTAATGTTACAAACATACCTCTCATCATCTGTGTCCATGCCATCACGGTCTCTGGACATCTCATGCAGTTTCCAGTTCCTGCGCTTCACCCTCCTGCTGCGGTCGTAGCTCTTCTTGATCAGCACCTTTAACAGTTCCCATCGTACAAATTACAACATTGAAACAGACTGACTTCATTTTTCTTGTGGGATTCTGTGTTGGAATTTAACATTTTCTCCCAGAACGTTATCAAAACAACAGTTCTTTGTGCTGCCAATAGAGGTCAGTGTTAAACAAGTCAACAGCTCCTAAAGGCGTCTGAAGCTTAAGTATATTCACTGAGGATGTTCAGAGAAATGCAGGTTGAGTCTTACCACGTCTGGAACATGGTGAGGGTTCATCTTATTCAGGTGCTCATCATTGACGTTGGAGTTGGCAAAATCAAACCTGAGAAGTAAATGTGCCGTTAAGTGTAAAACTGGCAGCTTGTGATGTGTCTATATGTCAACCATAGACTTTATATAAAGATGGACAGGACGGCTCCCAAAAGTGAAGCCAAAGCATCTCGATCAAACCCCGGTGGCTGCCTGCACTATAGGTGATAACCACACCTCCTCAATGTCAGTGGATCGGTCATGGACCAAACTAAAATGTCAAAATACTAGTTAAATACATTTTCATCAGAGACGGTTTCTATCATTTTAGGTTTAAGTCATAATTTATTTTTCAGTTTGGTTTTAATTCGTTAATTGGTGCTATAAAAACTAGGTGAAACATCTTGATTGACAGCTGTGACTGAACTGTGATTGGTCAAATATCAGCTGAACCTTGACAGCTACGGCACAGACTCCAAATGACGGCACCGGCACAAGATGGCAGCGTTCATATCCAGGATATTTTTGCTTCGTTTCAGGTTATTAGGAGAAGGTGTAGATGCGTTGCCCATCTTTATAAACTATGACGTCAACCCTTGATACTCACCCTAACACCAGGTCTCCGATGTTGAGCAAGTGGCCAAGGAATGTGCGGCAGTGATACTGCTGGCTGGTATTCATCTCTGATGTTTTCTGAACCCACACCTCAGCCAGGGAGTGCTGTAAGACACACAGACACACAAAAGAGGGAATATCAATGTAGTTTAAAGCCTTAATGCTCATGTTCTCCTCCACCAACTTGATTTGACAGTTGCATTGATAATAACACAACATTCAAACAGAGGGACGAGAGCTAAGATTGTCCCTAAACACCCCCATCACAAGAAAAGAACCATCCTGTTGATTCCAGCATGGAGGTTCAGGATAATGTAATGGTCCACTATTGATTTTACTTCCAAAGAGGAGAGTAATGTTCCCACATAATGCTGCTCGCGCACACACACTCACCCTATTAGACCTCAAGCCCGCTCCTGCTCCCAGCTTCTGGTCCCTGATGATCTCAGTGTCCATCACAATGAACTCCTCCAGTTGCCGTGGGTGACAGAGACTGTTGAAGGGGTTACGCCAGTATGTGTTCCCATCCACCTCAGCAACTAGTGTGCAAGACATCAGTTAGAAAGTCTGAGCACAAACTATACCATGCATTTTAATTTTCACATGATTTTATCTAAAAGCCATATGGGAACTAAGTCATAAAAATAGATATGCCGGTCAAAGCATTTTTTAACCAGACAGGAATGACACGTTTCTGTCTATAAAGCAAATAAAGCAAACACAAGCAGACAAACAGCAACACATATTTTAAATACAGAGCTTAATTGCCTACTGCAGCACAAATATACTGAACAGGGCCTCCGGGGCTGTTTCTGTTCCTCAGCCTCCTTGAAAACTTTCTGCAACAAAAATAGCCTGCTCTTTGAAGAGTAATTAGAAACGTGTGTGTGTTTGCTGCTTCCAACATGTCAGCGTTCTGCTGAGGAACGCCACAGCTTCTCACGTAAAGAGTGATTAAACCAGACACAGAGGAAAGGCATCTTCACTAATTGTCACCAGGTTTACATTGATTTGAAACCCCTCAGAATAAGCAGACTTTGCTTTGACAGCAGGCAGAATCCAAACTAGGAATGTGGCTTTTTTCTTGAGCATGTGCGTCGTGCTATTTTGTGACGGGGAGCAGAAGGAAGCTGTTTAGTTTAACGACTATGATGAACATGTGGACAACAGACTGAGGTCAGCTTAGTTCTGCTTTAAAGAGTTTCACCTCAGTAATGACTCTGTTACTCACTGAACACTTTATTAGGAACACCATTTTGTTACTGTGAAGTGCCCACATTTGCTCTCAAAACAGCCTCTATTCTTCGTGGCATGGATGCAGGATGTTTTGAAACTTTGATTTGAGATTCTGATCCATGTTGACGTCACTTCTACACGTTCACCCTGCCAATCTATTGTTCTACCACATCAGGTAAAGGTTTTCTATTCTCAGATCAGATCTGCTGTTCAGGGAGGTCACTGAAGTCCATTTTGAACTTGCTCACTTATAATTATTTAAGTAAATAATAATTATTATGATGTTTACATGAGTTGCTGATAGAATATTCCATTCATATTCCTGTATACACGGCCACTGCAGCTATATTTTATCATAACAGGACAAGTTTTTGTGGGATTGGACCGTGGGGTATAAAATGAGTAGGCAGCAGTAACACTCACTCTGCAGGGTGTTTGGATCGATGAGGTGGATGGTGCTGGTGACACGGATGCACACGCACAGTTGACCCATGTTCCCCAGGCTCTGAGCGAGACGTGGTGAGAGACACACGACATTGTCCTGGCAACCAAACACAAAACAAAGTCAAAACAACTAACAAACAAAAAATACAGCAACTGCTTGAAAGCTACTATTCCAAGTCTTGTTTGCATGTATTGAATTGACCCTGTATGACCCCGATTTAAACCCCAGAACTGAAGCTACACGTCAAATGGGATTAAGCAGCTATTGAAAATGATAAATACACACATGCTACATATCTCTTTGCCTACCTTTGTTTTAACGTTTCCTGTATTAAACCCTCTTAACTATTCAGTGAAGTCCACTTACTATCACCCGTCACCCTAAAAAAATAACATTCCAGCCTGTAACATTTGACAGCTTTCTAACATTCACTGAATGTGTGAAGAAACATGACAGGTCTGTCTAGTCTGCAGCTCTGAGCAGCGTCACCTGCAAGAGTGGATCAATTGAAAGAAAACAAAAACCCACTTAAAATGTAGAATAGAAAGAAGACACAGGTGCATACCTTGCAGACGGGTACAATCTCCATAGAGAAGGTGCTCTTGTAGTTGAACGTGTTTGAGTGGATGTCATGAGAGATGAGGCGCTGGGATGTCTTTGACCTTTAGAAAGGAAAGAATGTATTATTACTATAATATCACAATCCCTCACTCATTTCTGCCTCATTGGATGAAATTATAAAAGCTGAATCTATTTAGTCACAATCGGTTTAAAAACTATGTTGTGTACATGTAAAACTAGTCACTACACAACATGACCAAGTAACTACATTTCTTTAGATGTCCCCTACTCTCGCACTAATATCGGCAGAACTGGGTTCAGGTTTAATGCATCTTTTAAGTGAAAGAGCTGAGATCTGTCCTACATCTGCAGTCTTACATCGTCTTTATTATCTGTGTTTTTCATGATTCTTTAAATTGTTTTAATAAACTTGCACTGAATTTTGTTGCTTATATTTATTATATCCTTATTGTGTTGTATTTATTTGCTAATTTATTTTACTCTTGCTTACAGTTTTTAGAATTATGTTTATAGTTAAACTGAAAAAATATAAAATCTGTCATAATGGTTGGACGACCACATTTTGGGTTTAATTGCCACTTTAAAAGCGTTGGCTGACGTATCTGTAATTTTTTCATGGCGTTAATGTTTTCACAGCATTGCTCACCTGCAGGGCGAGGTGCACTGGAGGAAGTCGACCATCTTCTGAGCATGCTGCTTGGAGCCGAAGTAGAAATCAATCCCCTCTGAGAGACAACGGAAAATACCACCAATAAATTCATCACAGGTGCATTTCACAGGTCAACACCGCTGCTGAACTCATGTGCAGGCAAACTACACACACACACAAACACGGGGGGACCAGATGACGATGGGAGAAAATATGGCAGCCACATGTTGTAACCTCCATTAAGCTTTCAAGTCCTGCCGAGATGTGGAGCTGATTTAAATTACACCGACGGGCCAAACTCTGCCTCACAGTCCTGTCCAAGAGCACAGAGAGGTGCTGCTGAGCTGTCACCCACTGCCTGACGTGTGTGTGTGTGTGTGTGTGTGTGTGTGTGTGTGTGTGTGTGTGTGTGTGTGTGTGTCTGTGTGTGTGTGTGTGTGTGTGTGTGTCACTGAGCGTCTCTAAACACGGTCTGAAGCCATCTTGCATTGCAGGAATCTGGTATGGAATGTCTACTCTGATTACAGCGCACTGATTAGACGCATGCTCCTCTGAGGCCCACACGAGGACAGCTGTATGATGCGATTGACGCCAGTGATATGCATGCATGGCTTGCTGTCTGGTATGGGAACGAGAGGTAATTAACACTGGACACATCATTATGTTCTGCTGAGATCTAATCCATATTAGTTGCGCTGCTGATGAATGAAGTTTCCCACTTCTCAGTGTAAGTATGTTTTGAGGCCCTGAAGAAAACAACAAGCCGCTCCCTTTAAATATATATATATACATTTAATTTTTTTAATCATTGACTCACCATGGATTTCTTTGATGTTGAGGGCATTCTGGTGGAGTTTATGCTTGAGGATCAGCTGCTCTAGATAGTAGAATGTCTTTTTATGAGCAGTCTGTTTAAAAAAAGAAAAATCTGGGCATCATTATAAACATACAGAGATTTTTACACATTAGTGTAAAAATAGGATTAACAGCTTTGTATCTGCTAAACCCAGTTGCCATGTTTGACCTTTCATAAAAATAGCCCAGTTAATAGCTTACAGGTATCTACACTTTTCTTTCTGAGCAAAGTGAAGTTGGTAAAAAACACATCACGAGGGCAAAGGGCAGCAGAAAAACCAGTAAGAACAAGTAGAAGTTAGTGATTTTAATCGGCTGTTGATTTAAACTGGCTTTGAATGCAAAGTAACTGCAGACACTGCTGAGTTATAATCAGCTGTAGAATCTAAGCTTTGTTTGGGTAGATGGTATCAGAGTTTAGAAATTCTGGATCTGCTTTTAGGCAACTGTCCCCACAGAACAAAGGTTAAATTTGATCTACCTATAAAAGGGAAAAGTGCATTTTTCAGAAATGTGTTGTGTTGCCTGTCTAATATCGAGGGATGTACAGAACTACAGGACAAGTACTGCAAAATCAACAAAGAATAAGAGGAGAGAATATATGTTACAAATGTTATTATCTTTGCAGCTCTTTAGTTTAATTTACTTTTTTGTATTTTTATGTTTGATTTTGAAGTACCTTCTGAATTCCTTATGCTGAATAAGCAAATGAGATTTACTGAAAGTACTCTACCAAGTTATTATTATTATTATTATTATAAAAGCAGAACTTTTGTTTGGACTTATCTACAAATAAGTTTTAAGTGTACAAGAATTAAGTGTATTGAGAGGCATGAATAACTTTTTGAGACTATTTTAAAAAGGTGACAGATTTGAGTCTAGTTTGAATAATGAAAAACAGGGAGATAATATTTTTTAAATATCACACCTTCTGCCTAACTTGCACCACAGCCTTCCAGAAGTCCTTGGCTTCCACACGGTGGCAGTCGTCACACATCTGCGACTGGATGACAAACTCGACCACAAACACCTGCTGCAGGATCGCACCATTCATCACCTGAAGAGGCAAACGCAGCAACAAGTCAAAGCACATGTTCTACCTGCATGGCAAACAGGCAACGGCAAGTCTGTGTATTCAGCGTATTAATCACCGGGTGTTTTGGGAAGAAGAGACTGTGTTTTTTAATGTTTCTGTTTTTGTGCCTTTTAGAGGACGTCAGACCACTGGGATCTGAAGACAGTGTTTAGGAGACCATCAAACGGCAAAACAAAAGATTTGGCTTAGAGACACAAAGAGCTCAGGTTCTCACTAAAGGTCAAGGAGATGAGATCGCAGCTACTGGCAACATCCAAACCTCACTCAAAAACAGACAAGGCTGTTTTAAAGAGTTTCTCTAAATGCCATCATATGATTCTCAATGACACAGAACAATGTTGTAAATACTGATATTTTGCTGATGTTCTCAGTTACATGCAGCGTCTGGGAGAGGGATCCTCACATGTGGCACTGTCTGAGGTGAATATGGGCTATACAAATAGAATTTGATTAACTCTTATGGTAACTGGATGTGTGTGTCACACTACTTTTACATGATTAATTTGACACCAGTTAACTATAAATTTTAATTCCATCACATACTGTTCTTTCTGCTAATTACCACCTAAAAAAAGAGTACAGATAACCTTTAGGAGAAACACAATCATCGTGTCAGTTTCAAGCCATATGATTGTCATTCTCCCACACTCATCACTTCCATTCTGTTTTCTTACCTCTTTCTGTACGGTCAGTTTCATCTTGATCCTTTTAGAGTGTGGCTCCGTCCACAGGAAGCCAGCGTCAATAAGACGAACCTGTGAGGAGAGGGCTGCTGTTGAGTCCATGAAGTAGCATGAGCCATGATTAAATATTCTTACGTGCTGTGGCGACCATGGTGCATTATATGATGAAGTCAGAAACATAAGGTGGACACAATATTAGGAAATTGCAATCTATGACAAAAGACCTGCAAAGTCTCATATTAATATGGAGATTACAGTTTAGTATTCATATCACTTTTAATACTTTTATGATTATTATATCATTATCAATTCAACTTTATAGTTATTTTAGAGCTAAACGCATTCAAAGCTTTTCTCAATGTATTAATCGTAAACTGAAAATCTTTGGGCTTTTGACAACTGGCTGAATTAATCAAGAGATCTGAAGCAATAACTCTGTTATAAAAAAGGATTGTATCACAATATTCTGACATTTAATTGTCAAAACAACTAAAGCATTAATCAAGAAAATATTCAGACGACAAATCAATAATGAAAATAAGCAAGTTGCAGCTAAAGGCCATTTCTGAGGCTGGAGGTCTGAAGTTTAGGAAGTATCACACTCACTTTGGTCATAGAGCTCTTGAGTTTCTTCAGGCACAGAGCTAGCAGTTCCCTGGACTCCAGGGCACACTGCATCCAGGTGGTTGGGGGCTGCAAGTACCTGGATTAAAAATGAAGATTTACATTCATGCCTCAACCTTACCAACAAAATTTCTACCACAAAAGAAAAACTTTTTTTAACCTGTAAATAGTGAAAGAACAGTGTAATTTATTTTTAAAGAAAATGAAACAAACCTCTCACACTGCTTGCAGAAGTGCACTGTGACTTGCTTGGGGATTCCCTCTGAGATGTCGACCTGAGTACGTAGGCAGGCGACACACATGTTGGCGGGGTTGGGAGGAATAGGAACACCACAGGTACAGCACAGGCTGTAGAGGAGACACAATGTTTGTAAAAACTAATCATGTGGCATTTAACTAATTTGGGTCAAATAGTAAATATGTAACAAACATATCAGTTTATCAGTCACAGATTTTTATTTATTTCAGCATAGTACGCAGGTCAGTTAGTTTTAAATCTTTGGTTTGGTCAAGATTAGGTTAAAATTATGCTACAGAACAGCTGAAGGACAGATTGTTTTGAAAAGGTCTCCCTGGTGTTGGTACATTCATGACTTAAGAAAAAAGAGCACAGACATCAACCCTTTCTAGTCCAAACAGCTCTCAAACTTATGCAGACCTTTATCATCTAGGGGCCATTTTTACCCAGGTGCTATAAACAAATCAGAACCATCACTAATGGTAGTGATTAACAATACTGACATGTGAGTCTGATGCAGTAATTGAGGAGAAGGTAAAGAAAGTTTGTCCAAGATTCCTGAGTGACAGTTTTCTGTACCTCTAGTTCTATTAACATGGTGTTCAACAGCAACTCAAACATGACACTGTTCGGAACCTACTTTCATTTTATTTTATGAAAACAAGAAATGTACACATCTACAACACATTGAACCAGATCAAGATTAGAAACCACTACACTTACATTCATCAAATCTCAACTAGTTTATCCCGAGAAACTGAAGCTGGTTCAGCAAAGGTTTCACATCTCGGACTCATTGGAAAAGGTTCTGATCACAAAACAATCAGAGGTTTTTCTGGGATAATCTTGTCCAGGTTTGATCACTTAACTTCAGCCTCGTTACAAACTACAAATCTTATCCTCGAGATCAATGTTGTGAGTCGGGACTTTTACACAAAACTTCATATACAACCATTTAAAGTCAGTTTCACTTACATATTCCCCTGGCTGCTTGTGGCAGGAGCTTGCATGTACTCCATTCTTGTGAGGGTGACGGATCAGTGTCGGTGGATCTCTGTGAACAGACACATGTCAGATTTAAATGGCTCTAATCGAAGGTATGACAGTAGCAACCCTGCTAATAACTAGCTAACGTTAGCTTGTAGCACTGCGTTAAAGTATTAACATGATGTCCAACAGCGGAAAATAACATTCTTTCTCGTTACTGATGTTTACCCTCGGAAACAGATGAAGAGTGTGAGCGTTTTTTTAAATCTCTGAAGAGCACATGCTATCCGATGCTTTAGATTCTGTAGGAGACAGTTAGCATCTGATGCTAAAAAGCTATTTCTGATGAGTATTTCTACCAGAAACAAGCACAAAACCTCATAACAACGAGACTCCAGTATAACAATTGGTAAAAGCGACTATGAATAAAACCCTGGAGATGTTATTTTGGTCAGAGAATCGCCTCACGTTGTCATGGAAGTCCTCCACGTTTTCCCCTCAGAGGACCCGGGATGATGACGTCATTCATGCCTCAAAGACCTCGGGACTGTCTATGTGTGCCTGAACAAATTTCCCCCAGAAGTAAATTCAATTAAATATAAAATGGAACGCCATAAGACTTCATCCTATTGTACTTAAAAAAGAAAAATGAACAGAAAATAAGAGAAGCACATGGAAACGAAAGAAAATGAGAGAAATAAACTTTCTATTTGGATTTGACATTCTGCAACTTGTTATGAAAAGCTCACACAAAATGTATATTAATATAAATGACAGTGACAGACTCTATAGTCTCAGCAAAGTGAACATAGAACCACACAAATAATATGGAAATGTATTTTCACTGTATCTTCGACAGTAAAAAGAAGGTGGGCTTTCATAACGTGTGAAGCCTTATTTTTCTTCAACCCAACGCCTGAGTCTAATTGCACATAATTGTTTAAGTGTTTGAGTCCACACAACATTTCACCTGGACTCAAACACTTTACCCACCGCTCCATCGCCATAGTGGTGAGTAAAGGTAGTCAGTACCTTTACATTTTTGGTGAACTATCCCTTATACAGTTTTATCATAGCAAAAATAGCCCATTATTTATTTGACTTACGTTTGTAGAATATTTTATCTGAGTGCAGAGTGTTACTCAGGTTTATGATCCTGTCTACAGTGTTTTAACATTTTTACATCCTTCATAATTCGTTAATATCAACATTCATATTAATTTTATTTGTATTCCTCGGGCCTGTATCAACCTGTCTATTCCACTCTCTGCGCATTAGATTAAGTGTAATAAGGGTCTTGAGACTAAATTCTAACACAAGGGGTATCCACGAGGCAGGATCTCAAGATCAGGTAATAATGGAGGATTTGGCTTTTGTCAGTCATGTTCCCATGTGTCTCTTTGGTCGAGGCCAGTTGCACACTTTGCAGTAATCCAATGTTCAACTGTAGTTGTATTCAACAGCTTTTGTCAATTATATTTTAACATTTTTAGTAAATCAGTGAGTGGCCTTTGTGCTCACCTGTATTTTGGTTCTTTGGATGCCTTCAGGTGCTGTAGGAAATGTCTGAAGTTAAAAACCATTCCAGTATAGGCTACATATGGTGATAAAATAAATGACACATCATTGATATGATGTAAAAGAGGACATAATAGAAACATCAGTTTAGCACAGCCCAATTCAACAGCACCACAAACTGCAGCCTCAGGAAATGGCCATAAAATTGAAACATTACTTTAGTAATGTAGTTTCAAAATCTGAACATTATATAATTCATGACAAATAATTTTAAAAAAATAAAAGTTTGGCACTGTTTTATTGGTCCTGTCATCTTATTTTTATTATTCCTATCTTTAATATCAGTCTTAGAACTTTCTAGGAATATCCCATGTTTCACTTCTTTAACTTCCCTTTGATCACATGGATCAATTTCTCCAAGACAAGGCAGGACACCATAAAAAACTGATGAAAACCAAAACGTTTCTTTCAAATAATTTAACTGTGGAGTTATTGTCTCCTAGGGGAAATCTGTTTTCACAGCCAGTTCAGCACAGACAATATAAACAGACACATTTCAACACAGGTAACACTTAAAACATATGTATACATGTCAAATTCACAGAGGCAGTTTTTTTAGTGCTGCAACGGCAGTGAAATGCAGAAATCATTTCTATCTGTGCAATATCATATATGTGCAGTACTGTACTGTTAATATACAGATTGCATTTATGTTTGCATTATAGTCTATATATTTATTTATTTTATACCCCTTGTGTTTGTATTGTATTGTTTACTCATTTATAATCTTCACAGAATATGTATTTTACTGTTCCCATTTTGCTGCTGTAAAACAGTAAATTTTTTCCATAGTGGGACTATTAAAGAATTATCTTATCTTATCTTATCCTGACTTAACTTTACTTAACCTAAGTTCAGTTTAGTTAACTGAACTTAGTTTCACTTAGGATCCTCTTGTCCCCCCCTAAGTTCAGTTTAGTTAACTGAACTTAACTTAAAACTTTATTTTACTGATAGTTCATGTGTGTTTGGGTGTACTTGTAGCAGTTCATGACCTTTGGAGTAGTTTGACTACTCATGTGTCTCTGTTGGGGGGGCAGCGTTACGAGGTGCACCTGAAGGCAGCACCGTGCTGTGTGGACAGCAGCAGTGGGTCGGTCTCAGTCAGTTTGGCAGCAGCTGAGAATGTGGAGGCTCCAGCACGCTCCGCTATTTCCAGGACCGTAAACAGGCTCTCTCTCCACCGCTGCACCCGGGCGACCTGCGCTCTCCAGTCCGGGGAGGCTTCGCTTGTTTCTGGGACCGAATCAGATGGTCACCCGCTGCTGCTGGCGGCGGCAGCGGCGGCTCACTGCGGGGCGAGAGAGAGGGAACCAGCCGGGGCGCTAACACCTCAAACCCGCTGCTGCTGTGGGAGAATGCGGTGAAGTGTCAGTCGCTGAATCCGTGAAATCTTCGTGTGCCCCCCCCCCCTCGGTTAAATGTGTCACCGCTCCGAAGCAGCTCTCGTAGGAAACGACGATGGAGTGAGATCTGCGGCGGCGGCGAGCGACTCCCAACCTGCCGCGATTATCTCCCCTGCGCGTAAATAAATAAATGATAGAGGATACGATGACCCTGCTGTCCCTGCTAGGTCGGATCATGCGTTATTTTCTGCTCAGACCGGAGACCCTGTTCCTGCTGTGCATCAGCCTGGCTCTATGGAGCTACTTCTTCCACACGGACGAGGTGAAGACCATCGTCAAGTCCAGCCGGGACGCGGTCAAGATGGTCAAGGGGAAAGTGGCGGAGATGATGCAGAACGAGCGCTTCGGCGGGCTGGACGTCCTGGACGCCGAGTTCTCCAAGACCTGGGAGTTCAAGAGCAACACCGCGGCCGTGTACTCCATCCAGGGCCGGCGAGACCACATGGAGGACCGGTTCGAGGTGCTCACCGACGTCGTCAACAAGAGCCACCCTTCTATCTTTGGAGTTTTTGACGGCCACGGTGGAGAGGTGAGTACAATGTGGGGGCGAGGATGATGAAAGCCAGGGTGTCCTCTGTGTCTTTCCCACACACAGTCTAAGATATCTATCTGACTCTGTCCAGAAACCCAGGGGCCCAGATGTGGGGGCTCTAAAGTGTGGGTTACCATGAATTATAATAAAGAAATTATTCTTTGGACATTTATTTTATGTCTGCTCTTAACGCTGTCAAATTTGTATACAATGAGTGAGACAAAAGAGGAACAAACCATTTTGACAGAAAGTGAAACAACAGAGACAACAACTTACAATCAGTTTAATTTGTCGGGGCCCCACACTGAGATGTAGGTGCCCTAAAGTGTGGGTTAAGATGCCTCAAGTTAGAGTAATTGACATTATGTTCTGGGCATTTCTTTAATGTCTATTTGTTTCACTGTGGGTGAGACAACAGAGGAGCCAAGCTGTTTAGTTTGGCTGCAAGTTGTTTTTTTACAATTCATTTAATTTGTAAAAATACTTTATATTTACATCTGGAGCAGGCTACCATATTTTTTCACATTAGTACAGACTGGACAAACTGAACACCTTTTGAGTTTTTATGACAACTGAATGCGACCACAGGTTCTCTCTCATGTTTGGAAGGGGAGGGTGAGGTCATGTGCAACATGCTACTTCACCACCAGATGTCACTAAATCTTACATGCTGAACCTTTAAGTTATATTGTGTAAGTGTATTCATCAGTATTTTGTGGTTACATCTTTTAGTTTTAACTTTGCTCTCAATTACCATGAGTGAGTATTTTGTCGCCATATGTTTTGGTTTTAACGCTACCATAAATTTTGTATTACCATGAGTGAGACAAAAAGGGAATCTAAGTTTGGCTGCATTTTTCTTTTTTTGCAAACAAAACTGTGATTGAACTTTAAAAAAAAAGAAGGAATTGCCACAATAAAGACAACAACTTACAATTACTTTAATTTCTAGTGGCCACAAACTGAAATGTGGGTAAAGATGCTTTCAAGTACTTTGAAGTTTGTATTTTTCAGTATTTTGTGGGCAACTCCTTTATGTCTGGTCTAGTTTTAAGTCTGCTGGCAAACCTTTGTTGCCATGAGTGAGACAAAAAGGGAATCTGAGTTTGGCTGCAGTTTTTTTTCATCCAAAACTGTAATTTGACTTTTAAAAAAAAAAACACTTTATTTTGCAGACATACTAAATTAGTAATTAGCATTATTAGATGTTATCATATGATCATATGTTTGGGTCAGCCAATGAATAAGTGATCTATCCCATTTATTGTTTACATATTAAATATGCATGATATAAATATGTAAAGGAAAAATGAAGCTGTGCAGAATTTGCAGGTTCAGATCAAAAATTAGCCGTTGAGTTTTTATTAACGCTCCATTCGTCCCACTGTTTGAACCAGGTGTACTGTTTTGTTCCTCTATGACTATACTGGCCCATTTGTTGCATCTTTGCTTGTATGAAATGGCACAAAACTGAAATGTCTGTAAACTTCATTTTACCATGTGAAAGAGAGGGCCTCAAAAAGCGAACCTCACTTTAAGCCCCTCAGCTTCTTAAGGTATGATATTGTGCTTTCGTCTCAAACAACTTTCAGTAAGCACATGGGCCCAGTTGGTGTTCCACCCTTTGACGTTTGTCATTGAACTTGGTGGATAAGTAAGGAAAGGGCCCATATTGGCTCACAGTGTGTAGCAACCCATTATTTCTTCCCACAGCCCTGCACACACGCTCACCCACACTCACAGCTTTCTTCCAAATGGCAAGACAACTGCATCTTGTCTATTTGCAGCTCAAAATTGTGCTCAAAATATCTTCCGCTCGTGTTTGTTGGCCAAACAAATTTTTTTGGGGAGACAGACATCATAGGCCCCATGGTCTAACAAGATTATAGCTGGCAGGAAGAGGACAAACTCACATTTGTGTGATTCAGAGGCATAGAAAGTGCTGGATGAGGCAGTATGGTGGAAGCAGAACTGAAATGGGTCATTGATCACTGATCTGCTGGTCTCTGTCCACCCACACTTGATACTCGTTGGCATCTTAGAAATCTCCTTCTTTTCTGCTTCGTTGGTCTTAATGAAGGTTGTCGTTGGACCTCGAGTGCATGAACATGGCATTGTGCTCAGGGTTAACAACGGAACAGCTTTACAACGCAAATGAAAACGAGACCCGTACAAAAAGTTGTCAGTTGAAGGGACAAAGAGCAGCTGAGATGACGCCACAGTCAGACATGAGCATGGAGACACTGATGTGTGGTGAAGTCCTGCCATGCTTGAACACTGCCATTGTTTCTTAGGACTACAACCATGACCTCAGCACACAGTCGGGTGACAGAGCTACAAAGAAATAAAGCTTTCAGGGTATTCCATTTTCTTACATCAGATATACTTCTTGGACTGCCTCCACACCACTACATGTTTTGTTTGAAATGCATCAACTCTGGATCTTTCTGCCGTCTACAATACTCCAGAGTTTTAGAGCCTCTAAAAAAGATAAGTTTGGAAACTATGACATAGACACTCACAACTGCTTACTGAATTTGTTTTTCTCGATCACAACGTAGCCTTCGCTGATTTGTCTTGCTCTTATCAAACGACCTGATTCCAGAAGACAACTGGTGTTAGCCCACCAGTGTATAACGCAACATGAAAAATCAAGTGTAGCATGCCCATACTCCGTGTGCATGGATGGTCATGTGATATATACGTTTTCAGGCGTGTTATATGGACAGGGATTAAAACTCTTATGGAGCAGGTGTGGTTGCTGCAGACCTTGAAGCCGTTTGAGGCCTGACGGCAACTGTCTTCTCTCTGAGTACGACTGCTGTGGTCTGATTGAGGCTGAACGATAACATGCTAAAAATAGGCGGCCAAAGGCATAGAGGATAGCTGTTCTTTTAGGGGAAATTAAATTTTAGGCCGCGGTGCTGACTGCTGCAGCTTTTGACCAAAAGTGGTCATTGGATTGTTTTCCCCTGTGGCCGATTTTCCTCCCTGCTTGTTTTTTTTCTTTTCTTAGCGAAGTTCCTTTTAGACACCGGTGACCTAACCTGAGAGCTCTGCCGCTGCTACCACACTTATGGTTGAGAGGCTTGGAGAAATAAATAGGAGATATATGTTTATGTGTGACACAGAAAAAGCAGAGAGTGTGTGGGAGAGCTTCAAGGGTGAGAGTAAGAAGAAGAAGAAAGGGGAAGGTTCAGATTTGTCCATGTAGGCGAGAGGTTTTTTCATAGCTGGATGTCCACGGGCAACAGTTTGTTCTGTCTTCATTCCCACGCCCTCTTTTGAAGTCAGACAAAATGGTTGCCATACAGCAGCCCTCAAAAACAACTTCCTCTGTTTGGTAAATTTTTATTTAATTTATTTATTTTCAGCCAGAGGACATTGAATGAAGCAGAGTGATGTTTCGTGGCCCAGGGCAACACCAGGAATACTGGCTGCCTCAGCTTGCTTGTTAGCAAGGTGTCAGTCACTTCCATTTCTGTTGTCGCACATACACATGCACACACACATGCACACTCACTGCTCATCCAAACCACAAACATTCATTTAAGCAGTGTCAGATTTATGTCAGCATCTGTCTGGTGTTTGAGATTCCTAATCAACATTAACAGGTCTTGGACACTGTTTATTTAGACTCTAATGGACACAAATTTAAAATTCATTTCACTGGGGCTTGAGGGTGTCAGTTAATTAGAGCAGTGATTCAATGTAAACCTCATGGGAACAAGTATTGGATCCAAATGCAGTTAGGGATGCAAATAACAATCGTATTAATTATTGACAAATCTGCTGAAACATTTTCCAGGTTAATCAAATGTCTCGTCTTTAAATGTCTGAAGATGATGAAGAAGATGCGTGTTGTATCAGTTTTTATGCCGGCTGCGCACCACAGGATTTTAAAAATGTGGGAGACTACAGACATGATGATAGCTATAACTGATTTCTAATCTTTTCATCATTAGAATGCACTTGATGGTCCAGAGACGCAGAACCACACACCACATTCCAAAGACTTGGGATGTCACAGAAACTTGATTGATCAAACGCGACATGCAGGCGAACTGCTGGCAACGTCAGCTGGTCGCACTTGTTTGTGTAATGTTTTGCACAAACAACAAGACTCATTAAACAAGCACTTATACTGTTGCCACAATTTCACAAGTTTGTCCTTTTTTTGTACTGTCTACAAGGAAACTTTTCATTATGCTGTAGGCAGCCAATACTGGTTTTAAACACAAGTGCACAACATCTGGTTGGTGAGGTGTGTCGGTCCGCTCAATCTCATTGGCTATTCCAGGTTTCTGCTCTCTCACCCAATCACTATTCCTTTTATACTCTCTGATTACCCAATGTTTGTAATTTACTGTCTCTAATTCAGTCTTTGACAATTCAGTCATTGACATTAATGCCTCTTTTACACCTATACGCAGATTATTTTAAGTCACGTAAACACTCTTAAAAAGGTGCTTGACTTCTTTCCTATCGCCAGTAGAGGAGGAGACTTTCAGTTTTTTCCCCTGGGACGTCAAGTTCCACGTCACAAACGCACCAAAGACTGAGAAGCTCTCACCTTGCTGTCTTGCCAAAGTAGCATGACTCGTTCCCATCACTGTCATGTCATGTGGCCTCAGGTGAGAGCTTCAGTTCTAAATCTGAAAGATGTTAATTTCACAGTCACATGAGACAAATTAAAGCATCACATTCTCACAACAGGCTTTTTTCACAGGAGACATTTCGACGTGTGACATTAGAAAAAAGCATAGGTGTGAATAAGAAAATATTTTATTACTGAGTTTTTTAAACAGAGCAGAGGCAAGTGATATCAGAAACACCTGGACCTGTGCCAGGTCAAAATGTCTGCTGTGAAAAAGACCCACTGAGAAGCTGCAGATAGATATTAACTCAAATATTTAATCGATTATTCGTGGAGTGTGCAATTTACCTGTTGACCAACTGATTGAAATTCGTCAATACTTAACCATTAAAAAAAAAAA